AACAGATTCTGTGGTCAAGGCCTAGAATCTGTGTTTTAACAATTTTCCAGGTGATTCTGATATAACATTCCATTGTACTGTTGTGGTTTCTGTAGACCAGGTCACAGTGTTTCTCACAAAAGGAGTCACCTCTAAATCTGCAGGATTTCTGAACTGATATTAAAAAAGAAGGGATCAGTATATACAATTATAAAATAGAACGTGAAAGGTGCCTGGATGGCTCAGTCATTTGAGTGTCCAACCTTTGGTTTTGGCTCAGGTCATGATCTCAGGGTCATGAGATCGAGCCACCTGTCACATTCCATGCTCAGAGAGGAGTCTGCTCAAGATTCTCTCTCCCTCTCCCTCTGTCCTTCACCTACTCTCTCTCTCGAAAATAAATAAAATCTTTGGGGCGTCTGGGTCGCTCAGTCGTTAAGCGTCTGCCTCGCTCAGTCGTTAAGCGTCTGCCTTTGGCTCAGGTCATGGTCCCAGGGCCCTGGGATCGAGTCCCATATCGGGCTCCCTGCTCATCGGGAAACCTGCTTCTCCCTCTCCCACTCCCCCTGCTTGTGTTCCCTCTCTTGCTGTCTCTCTGTCAAATGAATAACTGCAATCTTTAAAAAAAGAAGAAGAACATGTTAAGTAATAGGTTGTATCTGCCTGACTGTATAAAAAAGTGAGATTTCTTACTGACTTCACAATCTCTTTATTGGATTGCCTGTGATGCACATCACATCTGTTTTAATGCTTATTAATAGTAAAACTGTTTTGTTTTCTTTCCTTCTACTTGTGTGCAAAGGTTTTCTGGGTTAGCAGGATATTTTGTTTATGTTTCCCCAAGAGATCCTCCTACCTCAGAACTCCAAAATGCTGAAGGTACAACACCAAAAGTGAACTCTATGAACTTTGGGTGATAATGATGTGTCAATTTAGGTAATGAACCACTCTAATATAGGGAGGCTGTGCATCTGGGGACAGGCAGGCAGTATATAGGAACTCCCTGTAATTTCTGCTCTATTTTCTATGAACCTAAAACTGCTCTAAGATAAGTTTTTTTCAAAAATTAAAATTTATTAGTGAAAAACACTTAACGTTTTAGAAAGTCATCTTTGAGTAATTATTATTTTAATATTTTTTATTATGATAAAATATACATCATGAAAAATTTACCATTTTAACCATTTTAATTGTACAATTCAGTGGCAGTAAGTACATTCACACTGTAGTGCAACTGTCAAGACTATCCATCTCCAGAATTCTTACATCACTCAATGAGGTCCTTCTGTTCTCATGGAGCTTAGGGCCTGGCTTGGTGGCACATGGAAACGTCCTGGTTCTCCAAGTGTGAAACCTCTCCAAAAGGACCAAAAGACTGTCCTCTTGGGTCTTTATGAAGGCTTTATTACAAAGTCATGATTGCCTAAGTCACGGGCCATTGGATGATGCAACCTCCAGCTTCTCTCCTTCCCTGAAGGTAGGGTGTTGGGAATAGGGACTGAAAGTTCTAATCCTTTATCACATGATTGCTCTTCCTGGCACCTTGCCTCTGAACCTTGGGTGGGTTTGAAAAGGAAAAATCACCTTCATTAATAACAAGACACTCATTTTACCTTTATAGCTCTGAAGCATTTTCAGGAATTATGGATGAAGACCAATATATCTAAGAAATGATATAATATATAACAATATAACATTCCTTATAAATCACTGTATCACACCAGCAATGAACAAATGGAATTGGATATTAAAAATATTACCATTTACATTATTAGTACCGTCAAAATAAATTACTTAGGCATCAATCTAACAAAGCATGTACAAGATATATATAGGGAAAATTATAAAATTCTGATTAAAGATATCAAAGAAGAACTAAATAAATGGATGTACCATGTTCATGAACAGGAAGATTCAATATTGTCTAAATGTCAGTTTTCCTCAAATTTGCCTATGTATTCAACACAATCTTAAAAATCCCAGCAAGTTATTTTGTGGATATTGACAAACTGATTCTAAAGTTTGTATGGACAGGCAAAAGAGCCAAAAAACTAACTAATTCAATATTGAAGAAGAAGAACAGAGTCGAAGACTGACACTACCCAACTTCAAGATTACTGTAAAGCTACAGTGATGAAGACAGTGTGTTACTGGCTAAAGGATAAAAAGATTAATGGAACAGAATAGTGAGCTCAGAAATAGACCCACAAACTCAACTGATCTTTGACAATGTAACAAAAGCAATGCAATGGAGCACAAATAATATTTTCAACAAATATGCTGGAACAACTGGACATCTACATACAAAAAAAAAAAAAAAGAATCTAGACATAGCCTTTATTCCCTTACAAAGATGAACTTAAAGTGCATGACAGACCTAAATGCACAGCAAAAAAACCTATAAAATTCCTAGAAGATAACATAGGAGAAAACTTAGATAATTTTGGGTATGATGCTAACTTTTTCAATACAAAACCAAAGGCACAATTCATTACAGAAATAAGTGGGGGCGCCTGGGTGGCTCAGTCGTTAAGCGTCTGCCTTCGGCTCAGGTCATGATCCCAGGGTCCTGGGATCGAGCCCCACATCGGGCTCCCTCCTCCGCGGGAGGCCTGCTTCTCCCTCTCCCACTCCCCCTGCTTGTGTTCCTTCTCTCACTGTGACTCTCTGTCAAATAAATAAATAAAATCTTCAAAAAAAAAAAAAAGAAAGAAAGAAGTGATAAAGCTGGACTTCATTAAAATTCAGAACTTCGGCTCAGCAAAAGACAATGTCAATAGAATAAGAAGAAAAGTCACAAATGAGAAGAAAACATTTACAAAAGACAAATCTGATGAAAGGTTGTTATCAAAAATGTACAAAGAACTCTTAAAACCCAACAGTAACAAAACACTTTTATAAAAAATGGGCAAAAAATACAAAAAAAAAAAAAAAGGACTAAAGACCTTAACAGACACCTCACCAAATAAGATACACATATCACCACTGAACATATGAAATTATGTTCAACATCATATGTCATTAAGAAATTATAAATTCAAATGAGATACTACTACATACCTAACAGAATCACCAATATCCAAAACACTGACAATATCAAATGCTGGTGAGAAGGTGAACAACAGGAATTCTCATTCATTTCTGGTAGGAATGCACACTTGCATAACCACTTTGGAATGTAGTCTGACAGTGTCTAACAAAACTAAACATACTCTTACTACACAATCCAGTTATCACATTCCTTGGTATTTACCCAAATGGGTTGAAAACATGTCCACACAAAAACCGGCACACAGATGTTACAGCAGCTTTATTCATAGTTCCCAAACTGGGAAGCAACCAAGATTCACTTTAATAGATAAATGCATACATAAACCCTAGTATATTCAACAATGGAATATTATTCAGAACTAAAAAGAAATTAACTTTCAAGCCAGAAAAGACACAAAAGAACCAAAAATGCATACTGCTAAGTGAAAGAAGATAATCTGAAAAGGCTACATATTTGTCATTCCAATTATTTAACACTTAGGAAAAGGCAAAACTTTGGACACAGTAAAAAGATCAGTGGTTGCCAGGGCTTACAGTAAGGAGTGGATGAATATGCAGAGCATGAAGGACTTTTAGGGTAGCAAAATTATTCTGTATGGTATTATGATACATATCATTATACATTTGTCAAATCCATAGAATATACAACACCAAAAGCAATTTCTAATTTCAGCTATGAACTTTGGGTGATAATGATGTGTCAGTTTAGGTTCATTGATTATAACAAATACACCACTCTAATATAGGATGTTCATAGTCAGGGAGGCTCTGTGTCAGGGGACAGGCAGGCACTATACAGGAACTCCCTATACTTACTGCTCTATTTTGCTATGAATCTAAAATTCCTCTAAAATAAGTTTCTTTTAAAAACTAAAAATAGGTGGAGTGCCTGGGTGGTTCAGTCGGTTAAACATCTGCCTTCAGCTCAGGTCATGATCCCAGGGTCCTGGGATCGAGTCCCGTGTCGGGCTCTGCATCTCCCTCTCCCTCTGCCCCCTGGCGCGTGTTCTCCCTCTTTCTCAAATAAATAAAATCTTTAAAAAAATAAAATTAAATTAATATTAAAAAATAAAAATTAAAAAAAAATTTAAAAATAGGGGTGCCTGGATGGCTCAGTCGGTTAAGTGTCTGCCTTCAGCTCAGGTCATGACCCCGGAGTCTGGAGAGGGAGCCCGGCATAGGGCTCCCAGGAGCCTGCTTCTCACTCTGCCCCTCCCCCCACACTCGTGTTCACTCTCTTTCTCAAATAAAATCTTTTTTTTTTTTTTAAAGATTTTATTTATTTATTTGAGAGAGAGAGAATGAGAGAGAACACATGAGAGGGGATAGGGTCAGAGGGAGAAGCAGACTCCCTGCCGAGCAGGGAGCCCGATGCGGGACTCGATCCAGGGACTCCAGGATCATGACCTGAGCCAAAGGCAGTCACTTAACCAACTGAGCCACCCAGGCGCCCTCAAATAAAATCTTTTTAAAATAGATTAATTAACTGGGGCGCCTGGGTGGCTCAGTCGTTAAGCATCTGCCTTCAGCTTGGGTCATGATCCCGGGGTCCTGGGATCGAGCCCTGCATCGGGCTCCCTGCTCAGCAGGAAGCCTGCTTCTCCCTCTCCCACCTCTCTCACTGTTTCTCTGTCAGATAAATAAAAAATAAAATCGTAAAAAATAATAAATAAAATAGATTAATTAATTAAAAATTAAAAATAGAGGGGCACCTGGCTGGCTCAGTCAGTACAGCATGCAACTCTTTATCTCAAGGCCCTGAGTTTGAGCCCTACACTGGGTGTGGAACCTAATTAAAATTAAATAAATAAAATTAAAAATAGAAATGATCACACTTTTAATTAAAAGCTTTTATATAATTAAATGGGAAAATGTACACATTTAGGGGCATGGAATGTACATGAGTTTGAGTAGCTCTTCTTTCCCCTTTGATCTCTGGGTGAAAGTTGATGTCAAAATAGGTTTCTAGGGTGCTCGCTCGGGCAGCACATACACTAAAATTGGAACGATACGGAGATTAGCATGACCCTTGAGAAAGGATACACGCAAATTCGTGAAGCATTCCATATTTTTATAAGTGAAGTCTTTTTTTTTTAAAGATTTTATTTATTTGACAGAGACACAGCGAAAGAGGGAACACAAGCAGGGGGAGTGGGAGAGGGAGAAGCAGGCTTCCCGCCAAGCAGGGAGCCCGATGCGGGGCTCAATCCCAGGACCCTGGGATCATGACCTGAGCCGAAGGCAGACGCTTAACGACTGAGCCACCCAGGCGCCCCATAAGTAAAATCTTAAAAAAATAAATAAATTTGACTTTCTCCTGTTTAAAAAAAAAAAAATACTAGGTTTATAGGGGCACCTGAGTGTCTCAGTCAGTTAAGTGTCTGTCTTTGGCTCAAGTCATGATCCCAGAGTCCTGCAATCGAGCCCCGCATGAGCCCCTGCATCCGTTCCCTGCTCAGCAGGGAATGTGCTTCTCCCTCTGTCCCTCCACGAACTTGTTTTCTTTCTTTCTCTCTCTCTCTTTTTCTCTCTCTCGTGCGGCGCACGCGATCAAAAATAAATAAATAAAATCTTTAAAAAAATAAATAGGTTTGGGGACGCCTGGGTGGCTCTGTTGGTTAAGCGACTGCCTTCGGCTCAGGTCATGATCCTGGAGTCCCGGGATCAAGTCCCGCATCGGGCTCCCTGCTCAGCAGGGAGTCTGCTTCTCCTTCTGACCCTCCCCCCTCTCATGCTCTCTCTTATCTCATTCTCTCTCTCAAATAAATAAATAAAATCTTTTAAAAAAATAAATAATTAATTAAATAGGTTTGTAATAAAAATTTCTTGCACCTAGTTACTTGAGAAAAAATTTTGGGGCACTATCTACATACTCTGTTTGATTGTAGGGTACAAGGGCAAAGTCTTCACTGCTTATTCTTAGCCCCTCGTAATTATTCAGAACCTTTAAGATAATTCTAGATTCTAGAAACTGATCAGTGACTGATTATCATCCAAGTGTATTCTCAATCTGAGTTTTAGGATATTAGCACATGATTCTAGAAGAAATATGGGGAGGGGGCGCCTGCGTGGCTCAGTCCTTGGGCGTCAGCCTTTGGCTCAGGTCATGATCCCAGGGTCCTGGGATCGAGCCCCACATCTGGCTCCCTGCTCAGCGGGAGGCCTGCTTCTCCCTTTCCCTCTGTCTGCCGCTCTGCCTACTTGTGCTCTCTATCTCTGTTAAATAAATTAATAAAAATCTTAAAAAAAAAAAAGAAAGAAAAATATGTGAATGTGTTTGGTTTTCTCCATATAAGTAGGATTTCAACAACTCTCATCTAGAGCACAAGGGCAGCTTCTTATCAGTCACTGCGGTCAATAGTTGGACCTCAAAACACCAAACCTTCTTGCTTTACAGTCTTACTCAGCGCTCTGTGCTTTTTCACAGAAGTCTCTTGTGATCCTTTTATTTCTGTGGTATCAGCTGTAAAGCCTCCACTTTTTTTTTTTTTAAGATTTTATTTATTTATCTGACAGAGAGCACACAAGCAGGGGGAGCATCAGGCAGAGAGAGACGGAGAAGTAGTCTCCCCAGTGAGCAGGGAGCCCGATGCGGGACTCGATCCCAGAACCGTGGGATCATGACCTAAGCCGAAGGCAGATGCTTAACCGACTAGGCCATCCAGGTGCTCCAAGGCTTCACTTTTTATATAATTTTAATGGGATCCTTTCTCTTTTTTACATTGGTTAATCTAGCTAGTTTTGTCAATTTTGCTTTTCTTTGCAAAAAAAACAATTCTTGATTTCATTGATAATTTCCATTGTTTTTCTAGTATCTATTTCATTTATTTCTGTTCTAATCTTTATCGTTTATTTTCTTCTGCTAACTTTGGGCTTAATTTATTGTTTTTCTAGTTCCTAGAAGTGTAAAGCAAAGGTTGCTTATTTGAGATTTTTTATTTTAACGTAGATATTTATATCTATAACCTTTTCTTATAACTGCTTTCCCTGCATCCTATAAGTTTTGGTATGTTGTATTTTCATTTTCATTTGTTTCAAGATAATTTTTTATTTCCCTTTTGATTTCTTCTTTGACCCACTGGTCGTTCAGGAGTGTGTTGTTTAATTTCCATTTATTTGTGAGTTTTCCCATTTTCCTCATGTTATTTACTTCTACTTTAATACCACTATGGTGAGAAAAGATACTAGATATTATTTCAATCTTCTTAAATTTGTTGACTTGTTTTGTGGCACAACACATGATCTTTCTTTGTTTTTTCACTATCTTATTTGCCAAAATTCATTTTTAAAAAGCAGGTAAAAGGGGCACCTGGTGTATCAGTCGTTAAGCATCTGCCCTTGGCTCAGGTCATGATCCCAGGGTCCTGGGATCAAGCCCCACATCGGGCTCCCTGCTCAGCGGGAGGCCTGCTTCTCCCTTTCCCTCTGTCCCTGCTTGTGTTCCCTCTCTTGCTGTCTCTCTCTGTCAAATAAATGAATAAAATCTTTAAAAAAAAAAAAAAAGCAGGTAAAAGATAACCAACATTCTACCAAAGAAGACAAACACCTGGCAAATAAACAAATGAAAAAATGCTAAACATCAGGGAAATGCACCTAAAACCACAGTTGAGATAAAATTGCTAAATATTCATTAAAAGGGTCAAAACTTTAAAAGATTAACTGTATCTACTATTGGCAAAGATAAGGAAGAAGTAGAACTCTTACACACTGCTAGTAGAACCATTTTAGATCAGTTTGACATTTCTTAAAAAGTTAATACATTCACCCAGCTTGTGATTCCAGCTGAAGTAGTAACACAAGAGAAATGAAACACAGCCACATAAAGAACTGTATTAAAACGTCTGTAGTAATTTTATTTGTAACAACCAATACCGTAAAGCAGTCGATATCCATAAACAGATGAATGAATATATAAACCGTGGTACTTCATAGAAAATCATACCTCTCAGCGATATAAAAATAATGAACTACTCATGTAAGTGTCATTGCTGAATCTGAAAATAAACGTTCTGCAGAGGGCACCCATGGGAGGAAAAAAAGGGTAAACAATTTATTATTTCAATCACATAAAAATCTAGACAATGCAAACTAATCTGTTATAAAGATCAGTGGTTGCCTGAAGGGCAGAGAGAGAGAGACATCATTAAAGTGCTGCACAAAAATACGGGAGTGACGGATAGGTCCGTTTTCATGATTGTGATGAGTTTCCTGGGTTAAGTGAATTTCAACTTATTGAGCTGTTCAGTTTAAATATGTACAGTTTATTGCATGTCATCTATATCTTATCACAGCTTTAGAAACATGGTTCAAAATAAAACCTGGATTTCCTACTGGTTTGTAAAATCTCCTTCTATTGACTCCACCATCTCTCCTCATGCCCCAGGAGAGGATGCCTTGCCTCAGTGATAACCAATAAAGGTAAACAATGAAAGCCATTTCCACTTGATTCAATAAAAGGAATGCAGGCTGCGCATGAAGGCCACAATCACTGACCAAGACATCTCCTTTCTCTAGACACCCTGGTTTTCCTCCCTACACAGCAATGGCCTTGAGACAGAGCGCCCAAAAAAGCTACAAGAGTCACAAAAACTTTACATTACTTTTTCTGACAGGCCCTCAAGCTACACAAAATACACCCTTCTGGAAATCCTGAGAATTTCTGTACCTGCTCACCCTTCACAGCCATAGAGACTAAACCTTGTGGACACCCTTTTAAAAGAGGCCCATTCCAACTAGTTTGTTGTAGTCTCCTCAATCCCTATAACTCCAGTGGGGTTTTGTTTGTTTGTTTTTAACAATCATGATTCCCCCTATAATCCTTCAACTAGTGGCACCACCCTAAAGAATTCTGGACACCAGAGCATATGGCCCCTTTGCAGGACACGAGGAACAGATTTCCCTTACCAGTGCTGAGCACAATGCCACATCCCCTGTGAATAAGAGAACAATTCTCACAAACACCAGAGGTTGTCACAGCTGTCTCCTCCTCAGGTTGACCCCTGAACCTACAAAATATCCTGACATCCAAGCTATAAATAAGGACCATAAAGCCCTGCAGTCTTTCCTGGGAGGCTGTGGGCAGCAATGCAAACTAGGCCAAAATGAGAGAGCTATATATATTCTGCCGTAATACTGTCCTATCTGAGGCACACAAAGTTTGGTCCCAACAAAAGCTGGTCACACGTTCATGCTAGCAGAACTCAGTTGTTCTCAGCAGAACAACTTAAATAGTTGTTTTCAAACTGCCACATACACAGTGAATAGAGCCCCCAAGATTAAAGGTGCCTTAAATAAGGCCTTCATTATCACACAAACCAGAACAATGGAAGGCAGGCTGGTTCCTAGGTTTGTGATTTGGAGGCTGGAAAATTCCATCACAAGAGTCATGTGAGACCAGTAACATCCCTGGGAAGTCTATGTTTTCAGATCATGAGCATTGTCTTCCGGGCCCAAACTGGGTCAGGTCTATGGCCTAACTCATCAGAGAGAAAGAAATGAGAAAGGAATGAATGATCAGGCTTCTCACATATCCTTTCACAAACAGGAGAACAGGGAAGTTTTACTTCCCTAAACACAATGTAGTTAGTGAATGAGACACACCTTGGGTACCTTCCAAGGGGCAGAAATAGAAAAGCTTCTGCAACAGAACGGAGGGACATAAATATGGCAATGGCCCGGGCAGTTTAAAAACATACCTCTCACATACCTGGAATTTAGTGGCTGTTCTGATGTAGGAGATTAAATTCAGGTAGATGGCACCCTCATAAGGGACCACCTCCAGTGTTATAAAGAATATAGAACTAGCTCACTCCCTGCACATCTACGTAAATTCCCTAAGTTTGCTATGTGAATTTTCTGGCATTCAATGAGACAGGGCCTCCACCTGAGCAGTCAGCACATTCATGAGGCCTTCATCCAGTGTGAACTTTCCAACACTGAAGGAGCAACAGAGCTTTTTTCCTCATACTCAAAAGGCCTTTCTCCAGTGTGAATTCTGATGCTGAAAGAGCACAGAACTTTAGCTAAAAGATTTCCCACATTCCCCACACTCATAAGGCCTTGATTCACTATGA